ATTTTCTAAATGAGTTCTTTGTATCTCAAAACTGTCCATCGAATATTGGTGCATTGGTTCCAAGGAGCGTACCTGTTAAGTCTTACTTGGCAGAAAAATTTAAATTCAATTCAGTCTTTGAGGACGATGTAGCTAAGTGCGTTCTTCGGATAAAATCAAATGCCGTGGGTGCAGGTGAGCTCCCTATTAAATTCATTAAGATTATTTTACCATATATATTGAGTAGTTTCGCGCACACAATTAATCACTGCTTTACTACTTCATCTTTCCCTGCCGCATGGAAAGTAGCTACTGTTACACCTATAGCTAAAAAACTGGGTGCCTCTTCCCCGTGTCATTTTAGGCCCAGAAGCATTTTACCGGGACTTTCCAAAGTATTCGAAATTCTTATAGCTCAACAGGTTATGGATTTTATTGAGAAAAATAAGCTGCTGAGTCAATTTAAATCTGGTTTCAGGCCCCATCATAGTTGTTCAACGGCAATTGTAAAAGTGTTGGATGATATTCGTCACCTTTCGATCATCTTAATGCGCAGAAGTCATATGTACTACCTATATTTAAAGAAAAAATTGAGCCTTCCGTGATTCCACCATTGCATATTGGTACTAGTCCACTTAAACTAGTTGACAAAGTTACAAGTCTTGGGTTTGTCATTAACTCTAAGCTAACTTGAGAGGATCATGTTAACAAAACTGTGAGCAAAATATATTATACTTTTCGATATCTTAGAATTACCTCGCAATATGTTCCTTTAGCCACTAAGGAAAAAGTGGTTCAGAGTTTAATATTTCCACTTATTACGTATTCTGAGAGAACGAAAAATGACACTGAAGATGGCACAACGCCGAAACCGGTTTGTCTTCAAACCAAATTTGACAAGGGATGACGGAAAATCGTTCTACAATACATTATTCTGAGGTAGTTTAAAGCAAACTAGATTCTCACTCAAATCACAAGTCGGACGTCACTTTTAATTTTGCCACGAGATACGTATATGGTCTGAAGAAGTTTGACCACCTTTCTTTGTTGAGAGACTCGATACTTGGCTGCAACTTACAAAATTTCTAAAATGCCAGCAACTGCATCTTTGTCTTTAAGCTAATTACTCATGGGAAACCGGAATACCTATATGAAAAACTGATATTTTCTAAATGCTCTCGCTCTTTAACCCTAATTTTGCCGAAGTTCAACTACTCATGCTCGTCCCGACTGTTTTTCGTTAACGCTGTTAGACTTTGAAACTCCCTTCCTCAGTCGCTAAGGAAGTCATTGTCTAGAGGCAGCTTCAAGAAACTTATACTTCAGTATTTCTATAATTAAAATTTCTTGCAAACGTGGTTATTGACTATTGCAAGCTAAATTATGTTAATTCATGTTTATTTTTTTTTTCTAATTAATGTTTTAAATTATTAAATATTTTATCTGTGGATTTTTAATTGTTAATGTATTTAATTTATTATATAAACATCGTTGTGCAAGAAAAGATTATATCTTAATGTACTAATTAACATTCAATAAATAAATAGCAAATAGCAAATAAAATAATTTACAGATAATGCATTCTACAATTATTTTGAAATTGTCAATGTTAATTCAAATTTTTTCAATTTGTTTTGAAAGGTTTTAAGCAGCAATGGCGAAGGCATAGCGAACACGTTTTCGATGTTCCCATTAGTACAAGATGTATTGACGAAATGTATGGATCGCGTTTTGTAAGTGCTACACGTTCAATATTTATTGACGGTAAAATTTTTAAAAATTTTGCAATATGGATCACGATCCATCAATACTGCAAAGGACTGTCATAATTGGAAAGACCATTTTTTCTTTTTGGAACTTAAAAACAAGAGTTTAGAGTATATTGTGCCAAAATTTTAATGCAATCGCAGGCCTAGAAGATATAAATAATTGCAATTGTTTAAATTATTGTTATTAAAGAAGTAATTGTTTTGCAAATTTTATTCTTCCAATCTTTCTATTGTAAAGAGAAAGGCTTCAGCAACTCTCAAAAAAATGTCATAAAATTTCATCAAACGGGTCGCGAGTTACGAATTTTTCTCCCAAAAATTGCAATATTCTTAAAAAACCAAAAAAAAAAAAAACGAAGTGCAATTTCGAAAAACCGTCCAAAGTGTATTTTTGTTCTATAATTATCTACAGATTCCCACAATTGTCTTCACTTTCCAGAAAATCAATGAAAATTCATTGACACAGTTGGCGTGGTTTTACTCATAGTTAATTACGTATTTTTCAAAGAAGAACATAAATTTTTATCAAAAAATTGCCATAATTTCATTTTTTACCTTTTCTCGCAATGTGTATACATTATATACATAGATATATATATCGAATGAAAGGCCTTTCAATCACCTTTCCAACTGTGTCCATATAAATCGGTTCAATAGTTTTCGAAATATAAGCTTTTGAAAATGTTGAAAATTCCACGTTTAGCCCCCCTCTATCGCCACCCCTGTCAATTTGCAACAAAACAAAAATTTGCCGTTAAAATCCGGAAAAGGGGGCGGGCTGCGCCCACTTTTTTTTCCCTAGCTCAAAGGTCAGTATTCTTTAGGTGTTCCCTCTGTCATTCGGTCCCGCTGGAATTTTTGTGTATAACAATAATAACCTAAAATTTGTGTGTATGGCAACACTAATTTTACAGCAGTTTGGCCAAACAAAATTAGTTTGCTGTGAGAGTCTCCAAACCCGCTCTCTCCGAGTTTGCTGCAACAACAATTCCACGAATTTTGCCAAAAAAAAATTTTGCATAACACCGACCATACATGATGAGGTTGAAAATAAAAAGCCTTTAAATAGCAGGGTGTCCAGATTACTTAAAAAAAGCGCCATTTCTGGAAAAAATTACCAAAAATCGCAAATTTTTTTGTTTAAATAAAGTTAATGAAATCGATTTAACAAATATTTTATGTTAAAAATGGGAACTTGTTATAATATAGTTAAAAAAAAAAAACGAATATAATACCTTCAGGGTAATAATAAATAACACAAATCACTTACATAATAGTGATGTACAAACAATTTTCTTTAAAAATACGCATACTTTTTACAAATATTTGTATCAAAACATTTTCCAATAGGACTGCGCAATCATTCAATTTATTATAACTCATAATTGATGAATCGCACAATCCGCTTTTAAGCGCTCGGCGCTAAAAGATAAAATAAAAACCTATAATAAGGCGAGTGTAATGGCACCCTGTCCATTTCATTTTAAATCGAAATCTAAACATATGGGCAACCTCGTCATCTGCCTTGTATAAAGGACAGCGATAGCGATGGGAGAGGCAGAGTTTTTACACAACAGCCAACGACAGAACAACACAATTTGGAAACGACGACGACAACGACAACGACAAAGGCGAACGACGAACGAGGAGAAACAAAGAGCACTGAATAATCTAGAATCTTTTTTGCAATACAGCTATTTTACTTTTTTATTAACTTTGTATATTCAACACATGTTACAAATAAATTGCAGTAACATATTTTTCCAAATTAACCGTTCTCCGAATTAAGTGTTGTTGGCTGTTGGTAAAGATTTCGATTCGTGTGGTATTTTTTGAGCGGGAAGTTGAATAGTTTTTGCGCCAAAATTGCAAAAGTAAAGTTTGGAGATTAACCTTAAGTGCTCGAAGGAGTGAACGTGTGTGGCATGCCAGGTAGCATGTATAGCTTGCGAAGCCTTGAAAGGGATCAAAGCGAACACCAAGATTCCGAGGAAAATGCAGAAGGAGTGCAACAGACCCAGCTAGCCACGATTGTAGCCAGCCTTAATGCACTTACAAATGCAGTCGCACAGCTAAAAACAGTAACTGAGGAAAGCCAGCGGGATATTGAGCGCTTGAGGAATAATATTCAGATTGATTTGCAACAGGCATCGCAGCCAAATCTCATCGAAGCTACGCATCAGAGTTCGTCAGTGTTTTATCCAGACGGGCCTGTGCAGAGTACCGCATTAGCAGCCAGCGAATCAGTCACTAAATTGTATGACCTGCCAATTTTTTCTGGAAATTCTGACGAATGGCCCCTTTTCTTGGCAAATTTTAAGGACACAACACAGGCGTTTCGCTACAGCAATCGTCAGAATTTAATGCGTTTGCATAAATGCCTAGTGGGTCGTGCTAAGGAGACTGTAGCTTCAATGCTAATATTTCCGGAAGATGTTCCAAATGCCATAGCCGAATTAGAATTTCACTTTGGTCGGCCAGACCTTTTAGTGAGAAGTCAACTCAACAAAATTCAGCAATTTCCAAATATTGGAGAGAATAAGGCGGAGCAAATTATATCGTTCTCCACAAAGACGAGGAATATAGTCGCGTTTTTAACATCAGCTAAGTGCGAACATCATCTTGCCAATACGACGCTTTTGGAGCAGCTAGTCACGAAATTGCCACCCAGCAAGCAATACGAGTGGACCCGCCACGCAGTCAGTATCAAGCCATACGCAACAATAAAAGAATTTTCTACCTGGTTAAGCGATCTTGCAAGAGTAGTGTGTCTCATTCCGCCGCCAACCGCAACCACGAGAAGCTATCAGCCTACATCTCAACAGCAGCCACCACGACGTATGATGCATGTTCGAAAAGAGCAGCTACCAGAACGCCTTGAAGGTATCAAGTGTTACGTGTGTGAAGGCGCTCACTCTATCTCTAATTGCCAAGCCTTCAAAGACATGACCATACGAAATCGTTGGGAAAAGGTGAAAGCCATTCAACTTTGCTTTTCGTGCTTACATAAAGGGCACAATACATCGAATTGCCGTTCAAGAAGAGTTTTTGACGTTGATGGTTGCCGCCGGTATCATCATCGTAGCCTGCATGAAAGTTCTAGCTCGACGCAAAATACAAATGCTACACGTAGTCGAATCGAATCGCAACCCGTGCTCAACTGCAGAGACGCCGAGTGTAGAAAAGGTCAGTTTTTTTAAATACGTTCCAGTTTCACTGTTCGGACCGAATGGTCGAGCAGATGTTTTCGCAATGGTAGACGAAGGTTCTGCCATATCATTGATCGAAGATAACGTAGCAAGCCGCTTGGGTCTCAAAGGTAGGAGACAGCCACTAACGCTTCAATGGTATGGCCAGAAGTGCACAACCGAGAAGTCATCGAAAGTCAGCCTTGAGATAAGAGGCAAAGGTTCGCCATCAACATACAGTCTGCGCAATGTATGCACCCTACGTAGCCTTGATTTGCCAGCGCAGTCGTTTACAAAAGCCGATTATGCCCACTTTGAGTTTTTGCCGATAGAGGACTACAGCCAAGTCAAGCCGTCGTTGCTGTTGGGCCTTGATAATACGTCGTTAAGCGTGCCGTCTACGACTGTACAAGCCAACAGTCAAAGCCCAGTAGCCATTTGTACCAAACTTGGTTGGATAGCTTACGGCCCAACCAGTTTGTCGCCACAAACACCAGTCGTACTACATGTCCGCGAGCGAAAGCGCCCAGCCACACTAAACGAACTTGTCAGCGAATATTTTGCCGCTGACAACTTTGGAGTAGGTGAGTCGCTCAAGCAGATTGAGTCTGAGGAGGATCAGATGGCCCGCCAGATGCTGGAATACAACACTCGCCGCGTGGGTAAGCGTTTTGAGAGCGCACTTTTGTGGAGAAGCATTCCACCAGCACTTCCTAACAGTTACGACATGGCCTACAAGCGACTGTTAGGAATAGAACGTAAAATGAGAGTCGATTCCAGTTTTGCCGCCAAGTATAAGGAGGAAATCACTAAATATCTGCGCAATGGTCATGCCAGAAAGCTGTCCGACGAAGAAGTATGTATAAAAACAGATTTTAAATGGTATTTACCGCATGTTGCAGTTCATAACCCGCCCAAGCCTGAGAAGAAGGAGATCGTATTCGATGCAGCCGCCCAAGTCAATGGCGTAGCATTGAACTCCGCTTTGCTCAAGGGACCTGAGCACGCCAAGCCATTATTGAACATTTTATTTAAGTTTCGCGAAGGCGCTGTTGCAGTCGCAGCAGATATTCGTGAGATGTTTTCTCAAGTTGTTGTAAAAGAGCGAGATCAACATGCCCAAAGATTCCTATGGCGTGATGGAAACAGTGATCGTCCAGTGGAACACTACGTAATGCAGTCAATGGTCTTCGGAGCCATATGCTCGCCGTGCATAGCAGAATTTGTGAAAAATAAAAACGCCGAAGATTTTCGTCAACAGTATCCTGAAGCCGTTACAGCCATAGTCGAAAGTCACTATGTCGACGATTTTGTCGCTAGTTTTAAGAACGAGCGAGACGCCGAACGCATTTGCAGGGAGGTCGTGTATATTCATTCGGAAGGGGGGTTCCAACTGCGATCATTTGTCTCAAACATCAAGCAGCTGCAAGATAGCCTGAATAAAGAGCCAACAACGTCACAGTCTGTGAACTTAGAAAGCCGTGCGAACTACGAGAAGGTATTAGGAATGCGTTGGAACACGGTGACAGATTCCTTTGAGTTTCAGCTCAATTTTCACCGGGTTTCTAAAGCCGTATTAGAAGGAGTTCGTCCACCAACCAAGCGCGAACTTCTCAGCATACTCATGTCAGTGTTCGATCCGTTTGGAATACTTGCCGACTTTCTACTGTTTGCCAAAATATTAGTTCAAGAGGTGTGGAAGAGTTCCATCGAGTGGGACGAAGTGATCCCGAATAGTTTGCATCACAAATGGTTTGCCTGGTGGAGTGAGCTCAGACAGGTTAGTAATGTGCAAGTCAGGCGTTGGTATTCGCCTCAGCTTCAAGCTGCAGTATCAATTCAACTACACGTAGTAGTAGACGCCAGTCAAGCAGCATTTGCCGCCGCTGCTTATTTTCGTGTCGCCAGCGCCGAAGGTTGTGATGTCACCTTTGCGGCAGGAAAAACCAGAGGCGCACCGCAGAAGCTGTTATCGGTGCCGTGGCTTGAACTGCAAGCCGCAGTTTTAGGCGCCCGACTCGCGAATCTAGTCTGCCAAGGCCACAGTATTCAAGCCAGCCAAATATTCTTCTGGTCAGACTCACAAACGCTGATACAGTGGGTCAATTCGAAAGAGCGAAAATTTAAACCGTACGTTGGTCACCGCATCGCAGAGATATTGTCATCAACCAAACCTCCACAATGGCGTTGGATACCCACCGACAAAAATACAACGGATGTCGCTACGCGTCCGACGTGGCCACCCAAGATCGAACTGCCTAGTCCATGGTTGCGTGGTCCAGAGTTTTTGCGATTTCCGGTCGACAGTTGGCCAGCCACAACTTGTACACATATGCCAGATCTGCTAGAGGAAGAAATCAAGCCTTGCCTTTACATACACAACGAGGTAAATAATTGCTTGATAAAATTTAACCGCTTTTCTTCATACTTCAAGATGAAACGGATGACAGCCTGGGTCCTGCGAGCTGCCGACAAGTTTCTACAATTACAGCGTAACTACGAAAATGACGATGAGGCCAGCCAAAGTTCAGCATTAACCGCAGTTGAACTTGACAAAGCCGAGAAATACATCGTCAAAGCAGTACAGCATGAAGTCTACAATGAAGAGGTAGCAGCACTAAGCAGGGGCGAACAACTTCACAAACAAAGCAGTATTAGGACGCTAACGCCGTACCTTGACAGCGATCGTGTTATGAGGATTCAAGGGCGCTTAGACGAAGCCATGGTTTTGCCCATAGAGACAAGGAGACCGATTTTGATGCCGTCCAAACACATCGTCTCCGAGCTCATAATGCGCCAGTATCACGAAAAGCAACACCACCAGAATTTCTCAGTAACGTTGTACGAAGCCCGCCAAAAGTTTTGGTTTACGCACGCCAGATCATTGTTAAAAACTGTACAACGTACTTGCGTAAAGTGCCGCATCGACAGAGCTAAACCGACACCGCCGCCGATGGGTCAGTTACCGGAGGATCGCGTCACCCCTTATGTCAGACCGTTCACGTACACGGGCGTAGATCTGTTTGGCCCATTTAACGTGACAATAGGTCGTCGACGTGAGAAGCGATGGGCAGTAATTTTCACGTGCCTTACTACAAGAGCGGCTCATTTGGAGCTCGCAAATGATTTGTCGACTGATGCGTTTTTGCTATGCCTGCGAAATTTTATTAACCGCCGTGGCACACCGATTAGAATACGAAGCGACAACGGGACGAATTTTGTTGGCGCCCAACGAGAGCTGAAAGAGTCAGAGCGAATTTTGGATTTTGAGCGAATATCCGATGAGGTCACCAGGCGGAACATAGACTGGAAGTTTAATTGCCCTTCCCATCCGAGTTCAGGAGGTTGTTGGGAGCGCCTCATCCGCGTCGTTAAGAGATTGCTACAGAAAACACTGCGCGAAGAAGTACCGAGAGAAGACACACTGCGAAGCGTTCTAATTGAAACCGAAAATATTTTGAACTCGAGGCCGCTGACTGAGGTGCCTTTGTCATCAGAGGAAGACGATCCCATAACTCCGAACCATTTTCTTGTTGGTTGTCCCAATTCAACGCAAACACCACAGCCAGTTGACCAAAAAATATGCCTCAGGAAACAGTGGCGTATCGCGCAAAATCTGAAGGACCGCGTTTGGAAGCAGTGGATACGGCATTATTTGCCGCAATTACTCTTGCGCCACAAGTGGCACGACAAAGTTGAGGCGATTGAGATCGACGACTTGGTTCTCGTCTGCGACGATCTNAATATTTTGAACTCGAGGCCGCTGACTGAGGTGCCTTTGTCATCAGAGGAAGACGATCCCATAACTCCGAACCATTTTCTTGTTGGTTGTCCCAATTCAACGCAAACACCCCAGCCAGTTGACCAAAAAATATGCCTCAGGAAACAGTGGCGTATCGCGCAAAATCTGAAGGACCGCATTCGGAAGCAGTGGATATGGCATTATTTGCCGCAATTACTCTTGCGCCCCAAGTGGCACGACAAAGTTGAGGCGATTGAGATCGACGACTTGGTTCTCGTCTGCGACGATCTCCAACCGCGGAGCCAATGGAAGAAAGGCCGAGTCACCAAAGTATTTCCAGCCAAGGACGGGCAGATCCGTCTCGTCGAGGTCAGGACCGCTGGAGGAGTACTACGTCGCCCTGCAACAAGGCTTGCCATCCTGCGAATTAAAGGTGAATCCCTACGTGATTCACGGTGTGGCGGAGTGTAATGGCACCCTGTCCATTTCATTTTAAATCGAAATCTAAACATATGGGCAACCTCGTCATCTGCCTTGTATAAAGGACAGCGATAGCGATGGGAGAGGCAGAGTTTTTACACAACAGCCAACGACAGAACAACACAATTTGGAAACGACGACGACAACGACAACGACAAAGGCGAACGACGAACGAGGAGAAACAAAGAGCACTGAATAATCTAGAATCTTTTTTGCAATACAGCTATTTTACTTTTTTATTAACTTTGTATATTCAACACATGTTACAAATAAATTGCAGTAACAGCGAGGTTAGCTATTTCCACAATTTCTTCAAAATCACCTATAGGGTCTGAATCATTTACATTTGTGTTGTTGTCATATATTGAGCCTTGATAACATGCTGTTTGATATTGGAAACGTTTTGCAGCAGAAACTATTAGCCTCCAAGGCGTTTGACACTGTCAGCCACAGCCTTCTGTGTGGCAAATTAACTGACTATTTTGAATTTGATGTAAATGCAGTAAAACTTCTTAACGGTTATTTAAGTAACAGAATGCAGAAAGTTAAAGTCGGCAACACATTTTCAGGGTTGGTGGCAACATGTTGCGGAGTACAACAGGGCTCCATTCTAGGTCCCGTCCTCTTCAATATTTTTATAAATAATATTTTAAACTCTGGCTCCCATGTTCGTCTACACGCTTACGCTGACGATATTCAATTAATTATCTCTATCCATATCAGCATGGTTCAGGATATAACTCGTAAGCTTAATAAGGACTTGTGCTTAGAGTGGCCAGATATTATAGTACAGTTGGGATCAACAATCTGTACAAAGCCATAAAAATCAGCTCATTTTTATGCGTACTTTTTATTATTAACAATAAACAACCAAATAACAGCGCATTAATTTAACAAAAAATAACTAATAGACTTTTAAATACATATAGTAATATCAATATAAAAATTCATTACTCTAAAACAAGTCAAAGGTATTACGTATGTATGTACAGTTGTGCTCAGGAAAATAGTAATAAAATGTATTGACAGGTTTTGAAAATGTTTTCTTTCCATACTTAATTTAAATTTTTTATAAAAATATAGTTAATTCTATAACAAAATACATGTGAGTTGAAGTCTCGAACTTTCTAGAAAATATATAAAAATTGAGAAAAAAAATTGTAGCCCATTCAGTTTCAGTAGAAGACGAGCTCGAGTCAGAATCTGTTTGCATATTTTAAGCTACAAATTTAAAACATATTTAGTTGGTGTGCTTATTAAATACAGCATTCACATTAAAATGTTGACTAAAAGGTATATTACCGAATTATCGCTAAACGAATTTTCGAGTACGAATGAAATTTAATAGTGTTAAATGTGTATGTGCAAGTAAAATTACAGGTGGTCGAACATCAAAAATCAAAGTAAAGCTACATATATCATATCCAAGAGTCGGTAGTTTGCACCTTTTCCAAATTTTTAGAACTTACATTGCACCGTAGCAGTAGTCGACTTATGTTTGAAATACTGGCAGCCGATTTCTCAGTGGAGGTTTAATTATAATCAAAGGATAATCTCTTATTGTCATCTTCTCAGTGTACTTAATATATGATTAACTCACCACCTTTCGTAAGATTTATTTATGGAAAAACCAGCTTTTCCTGTAAATCCAGTAAAACCTGCAAATCGTGATTGCAAATCGGGTTGGGTTGAATCCAAACAGTTTGTTATTTTTCGAAATCCTAGGGAACGAAACAATTGCAAGCTGACACCTTTTTAATAATGGTTCAAGTTTAATTAATGCTTTCAATCTGCTCACACGTATGAGTTGTCAAAAACCATTGTTTTGAACATGTAAACCTCAAGTAAATGTCAATTACACCAATTTACAAAACTATTTATTAAATGTAAAAATCAATACAAAATCAGTACAAACTCAAAAAATCAGTACGTTTTGCGTTCTGATTTCGGGCTCTTAAAAATCAGTACAATAGAAAAAAATCAGCACATGTACTGATTAAATCAGCGCATCTGGCCACCCTACCTATGCTCGATTCTTGAATGGTCTGCTGAAAACCTCCTCTGCCTAAATGCTCAAAAATCGTATGTATTACCAATATTCAAGGATAAAATCCTACTTTCTGACATCCCTCACCTTTATATTGGGACTGCAAAGCTTCAATTGGTTGACAAAGTGAGAAAGATGGGTTTTATTTTAAATTCCAAGCCGACTTGTGAGGACCACATCAATGAAATTGTGGGAAAAATTTATCACACCTTGCGCTGCCTCAGAGTACTCTCAGACACGAAAAAAGCTGGTGTCAAGCCTTATTGTTCCTTACGTATTTCGAAATAGTGTACAGCAAACTAGACTCTCATTCCCTCCAAATTTCAAAAAACTTATCTTTGAATATTTCACTGATAAAGTCGCATAATGAGGTGGTTATAAATTTTCTCTTTAGTTTTCTACGTTTTATACAATTTCTGTTTGTACTCTAGTCGTTACGTTTATTCATTCTTGCACATTTGTATATTTAAAATTTTATATTTGTTATTACAAATATTTTCGTTACTGTATACTCTTATTCTAATATTCACATGTACTTATCTGTTCGTTGTATTGCGCAATAAAAGATTATATTGTGGCGAATACTGCGGCAACGAGAAGCGAACAACGAGACACAGGCAGAATGTTCGAGGAATGGCGTAGAATGTTCCACAAAGAGAAACGTCAAGTTGGATGAACACTACGAACAGTGAGAGAAAGAGAATGAGCGATAAACTTCAGAACGTTCTAGAGTTGCCATAAGTACGAGCGCAGGTATATAAGGGCGCCGCCACAGCGAAGTGGGTTAGTTACAAGTCAGCAAGCTACAAGTTAAGTGAGCAGAGAAGTGAGTTGCGAATAAGCAAGCTATAAGTTTAAATGTGTTAACAAGTTTAGTAAAGCGTTGTTATTGCTTTAACAAGTATTGTAAAGTGTTTTACTGTATTAGCAAGTATTGTAAATTGTTTGTTGTACAATAAAGTTAATTGTACTACAATTTGGTCATCGTTAGCATTTCTCTAACAATCCAGCGATACGAGCCGAAGATATTTGGGAAATCCCTCAAGATTTCAAGGATAATCGTAAAACTATGTTCATTTTCAATATTATCTCAATCAAAGCTCGCTTTTTAATCACCCCGTTTACACAAGCAAATCTCAGATTATTAGCCGTCAAAAGTTATCGGTTAAATCTGAGATTATTTTGTAATTAGAGATTAACAAGGGACGAATTTTTGTTATAATTACAGATTAGGGTGTTAAGCTCGAAAATGAGGATAATCTACTTATATGTGAACCTAGTATAACAATTGGTGTCAGAAGTGGGATTGTTAAATAAATCCCGACGGATAAACTTTTAAAAANTTAACAACATGGAAGTGCCCCTTCGGTTTGGGTATAATGGTCCGTACAGCAGCAAGCGAGTGATCTTAGAGGAAAGCGAGCAGATTCCGCCGAAGTCAGAAGCAGTTGTGTGGGCAAAGATTGANACTTTTAAAAATGGCAAAAATGTAAGACCTAAAGATCGAGGAACTCATACAGGAGTTGGAGAAGCGAAAGTTAGCAACCTCCGGAAGGAAAGTAGAGTTAATATCACGGCTGCGAGAGGCTATGGAAAAGGAAGGTATCGACGTTGACAAATACGACTTCCATCGTGAGGACGATACGACGTCAACGAAGGACGAACAGAAGGATGAGGCTGATTGTTNCAAGGATGGCGACAAACCAGGCAGGACTAGCGTTGTGAAACATTGCATTAATACTGGCGATGCAAGGCCAATCCGTCAAGCTCCTCGGAGTGTTCCACTTGCCAAACGTGAAAGTNCATCAACAGGTATGGACATGAACACGTTATTGGCTGCCGTGTCACAGCTGATGCAGGAACAGAGGTCGCAGTTGTCGTCAGACGTTTCCTCACAGATGCAAGCCTTGGAGACACGTATATCTTCAGAGGTATCAGCGCAAGTGTCATCGCAGGTGTCATCCCGGTTAGAAACTCAGCTACAGGCACAGGAGGCACGCATATCATCACAGCTGGAAGCACAGGATGAAAAAATTACACAAATACAGGACAAACTTGAAGAGAGACTGGAGAAAGTCGAAGCAAAGGTAGAAGAGTTGGAAGGTCGCCTCCGAGATTTGCAGATGAATCGTCCAGCTACTTCGACAAGTGCTCCCAAGGTAAAGACTCCATCCTTTGACGGCACGATTCCTTTCCAAGTCTTTAAGCTCCAGTTCGAGAAGACAGCTGCAGCAAATCATTGGAGCATGGAGGATAAATCCGCTGCACTATTCGTTGCATTGAAAGGACCTGCGGCAGAAATCTTGCAGACTATTCCCGACTGGGAAAGGAACAGTT